GAGAGAGAGAGAGAGAGAGAGAGAGAGAGAGAGGGACTGATGCTTTATTTAGAAGGGAATATCCTAAATTTTCAGCAAAAAATGGCTCTATTCACGGAGAGCAAGGGATAAGGTAAGCAAGGTGTCATGGTAAAAGATCAAGGATCATAGAATACTCAAAATTAAAGTTTTACACGATATCCACATGTACTGTGGGGACAGGTCAACGTTCAACTTCTCAATTTCCGCTTCTTTACACCTGAGGTAGCGTACTAGGAATGGGAGTAGAGAGTGCTCCTAATGACTTGGCCGTGACTTTTTACAACTGTTTATAGAGGTTAATTGGTACGCAATAATGGCAGCGCAGTTACAAGCTAAAACCCTAATGTTGACTGATTTATTCCAAGTTTTTGGTTAATTTCAGAGAAAATAACAAAAAACAACGCTTTTTCTTGCCTCCTTACAGCCCCTGTCAGACCAGGAGATGCAAAGCTTGGGGCAGAATTACTCCAGAGTGCACAGCCGCATACAACGGCCTTTCCAGCTACCCTTCAGGCGCCCCAACGATGTTGGAACAACACCCGTAGACTTTCAGCAGATTGAAATCGAGCTGGCTTCCGTCAGCTTCTCTTTTCATCCGCTCTTCCTGGCTGAACACGTGTTTGCACACAACCTGCGAATGCTTGTGAAGGCGTTGGAGGATAGGGTTGGACGCGATTATATTAATGCCTGCATACAGAGGGTAAGATAGCTGCTTTGACTTGCGTGCCAAGTGGACTACGGTAGATGCTTTCTGGCTAATTGAGATCCATCATACTGGTACAACTGCATGACCAGTGTAAAAACAGTCTACTGTGCATTTTTAAGTAGGTGGTTTATTTGTTACAAGCATAGCTATGGCGGAGCATGCCGTTCTCCCATCTGGCGGTATTAACTACACGCCGAAACTGTCGGGTACATAGCCCCGTAACATATTATGTTGTTTACTGTGCTCTTTTTTGATCGCACTGCTCAACGGCCACCCTTAAACGTCTACATTATAATTCTTCATGAATTCCATTTAACTAGAACTGTGTTCGGATTATAATACACCGCATGATAGCTGATAAGCTTTTGGGGCAGGAAACTGTCATTTTCCCTCGTCATACCTTGAATCCAAACTCCTCTTTTGTATCGTTTGCATTTTAGATTGCTGCCTTAAAAAGGGCCATAAAACAGTTGGAAGAGAAGGCCGCGCAAAAGGTTAGTCTTTTGCTGACTTCTAGTGGTTTCCGTCCTAGTTGCAATTTTAAAAAGCTGAATAGTTTCCAATCCTGACAAAATTTACCTCGCGTATGCAGCACTTGATCTGATCTCAACGCTTTCTGACGTTTATGTGATGCATGAATAAACACAGATGGCCTCCATGCGTACGTGTTCGAGTAAGCAAGTGGCGGACGCCTTGGGACAAACAGGAGCCGAGCTGCAGTAGTTGATAACGTACAAGTATTCTGTCAAAAGTTATGGAGACAAAGTTAATTGAGTAGGGATGAGTCACTTCAGCTTTAGTAAGGGGAAGTCGAGCGCATACCTTTAAACTCACCTGGCGGTTGCCAAGTGAGTAACAAAAATTGCTGATAAGTAGAGTAAATTCAAAAGAAGATTGCTTCCATAATTGCATGCGACATGCAAACAGTTTTCTGTCAGTCATATAGTGTACACATTAAAGTCTACTAATATATCGCAAGTGTGTGTGTGTTCGACCATCGATTTTGATGAGGTCCACCAACTGAACCAACAGGTTGGTACAGTAGGTGACGGCCTCAGGGGTTAGTTTTAAAGTGATAGAGGACGTAGTTAGCGGCTCCGCACTCTTCACCTTCTCCCGGAATCTCGAAGACTAAACAGGGTCCGGCGTAGGCTGCTATATCAAATGCGAGCCAATACACCGTCTAACTTAATCTTAAGTGACAGTAGCCTTTTGCGCTGGTACTACTGTACTGTCTACCCTCACCCATAGTAGGTGTGAAGACAGGCCCAAAGAGGCCGATACTGATACGGATACTACTGTTTCTACTACTATTGGCTATAGATGTAGCTGAGTCTTAGTGTCAGTACTATTTCTGCCGCTCAAATTTGTCAGAAGTGACGCTGGATTTAAGTAAACAATGGGACTCATACCCCTTGTCTCAACAAA